ACTGATCGGCGAGTATGATGGAGACTCTCTGCCTACACTCATTACAAGCTCCTCTCACGAGCTCTTTATGTCTTTCACATCTGACGGTTCAGTTACAAACCCTGGGTTCTTAGCAAACTACCATAGTGAGTATTAGTTGTTTTTTTTCTTCCTTTAGAAAGTGGGAATGCTTGGTTGTCAATCGTTTGTGTTTTGCCTATCTATCTTGTAACTTTAACATATTTTTGTTATTCATCAGTGCATGGCCAGTCCTTTGTGAGGGCCATAAGTTTATGTCCAAACCTTCTGACTGTGGAATCATATGCAAGTGGTATAATATTTTCTAACATGCAGCAGAAATACTCGAACGACATGAATTGCAACTGGACTATTTCTTCAAATGCAAAACTGGAACTTGCATTTATAAGATTCCAAACTGAGTCTGGTTGTGACTTTGTTAAGGTGTTCGATGGCCTAACATCTTCCACACTGATCGGCGAGTATGATGGAGACTCTCTGCCTGCAAGCATTACAACCTCTTCTCACGAGCTCTCTGTTACTTTCACAACTGACGGCTCAGTTGTAAAATCAAGGTTCTTAGCGAACTATCATAGTAAGTATCAACACGTTTCCATAAAAGGTAGCTCATGGAGAATCAGCCTTTCAAAATTTGCTAAGGCTGCTCGGGACGTCCGAAATTCAGGACCATGGCTTATGTTTTCATCTTGAGCTTGGCCTTGCTGCACTCATCCGCACCAAACAAGTTCTTACACTGACTCAGATTATGCGGATGAGCAATCCATCATTAATTTTACCATAAGATTATTAATTATAATTTCCATCTCCTTGTACAGCCAAATTAGCTCGCATTTATAGTACGGGTATGATAAGAGCGGCTCAAGAGTTGTCCATTACTACAAATAAAATTCCGTATGTTATATGCAAAGTCGAGCGTACAACGTTTTCTTCAATAAAATGGTTGAAAAGAACTTCTAAAGAAACGTTTTTGTATTTTGTTCTTTTTGTTTAACATTTTTGGTAACGTGGTTTTTTTTTTATTGTTTTCCTTATTTACGTTGTTTTATCGCCTCTTTCAGTATCTGGCCAGCCATTTGCGACTGTTTCGAGTTCATGTGCAGACATGTTGACCGTTCGGTCAAGTTCAAGTGGAATGTTATTTTCAAACAGAGATGGTGCCTACGCTAATGACGTGAATTGCAGTTGGAGTATATCTTCTAGTAATAATGTGGAACTAATATTTTTCAAATTCGATACTGAAGAAAATTACGACTATATCTACGTGTACGATGGCGCATCTATGATGTCCTCTTTAATTGGCAAATACCACGGAAACTCCTTACCAGCGGTCATCACAAGCTCATCCAAACAGCTTTACGTCACCTTTAGTAGTGACAAAACAGTTTCAAGTTCTGGGTTTGCGGCAAGTTACCACGGTAAGGTTTCTTTGTATAATTGTCAGAATTCTTGTACTCTCGTTATTACTGCAAAAGTAAATGGAAAAAAAAAAGAATTCAGAGTAATTAGCATATACTAAAACAGTGGATAGCTATGAAGGCGGGCTCTGATTGGCTACCCAAACTCCGAATATCCTTTGTTATTCACCCCCGAGCAACTCGCGTCGGATTTGCACTCGAAAAAATTGTAATCGTTGCAGGAGTAAATGAATTAAAATAATCTTTTAACGCTACATTATCTCACTGTTTTATTATATATATTAAACAACTATTCTCCTCAATGTCGGTGGGTGGGTATTTAACTCGCAGCCGCAAGGCTTGGTAATATCCACCACCAGCCACCTCAGATTTGATGAATAAGTGTAAACTGTCCTTCTATCCTAATTTTCCGCTCAACTTGGTTCACTAGATAACTAGGTGGCTTTCAACCATAAGCAAATCACATTAGGGATATAAACATTTACAGGTTTGCAACATCAAAGGTGCTAATGCCGAATAACTGGAGCTGCATCTCTTTAATAAAATTCAGGGCAGATAAACAACCAAAGGAGTTACTTTAATAAAACTTCGATGTAAATGTTTGATTATAGTTCAAGAGAGAAAACTAAATTTAACCACAGAAAAATTGGTATAGGCATGCTCTCTAGAAGCAGTGAAAAGATAGAAAATGGATAGAGAAATAATTTTTTTACAAACGAAGAACACTGGTGATATAACTGAGGTCTGAATGAAAAGGTGAACAGCAAACCATGACAATGATATATTCGTATATACTAAAACAGGGGATAGAGTTGAAGGTGAGTTCTTATAGCTACTTGAAGTCTGAATATCCTTGTATTTCACTGACTAACGCGCGCGGGATTTGCGGCCGAAAACTTTGTAATCATTATGAGTTAAAATCATCCTTTTGTGCTATATCATCTTACTGTTTTAGTATTCACTAACACTGTTGTTCATCAAAGTGAAATATTTACCACAGGTCACCTCCACTTCAGTAAATAGTTGTTGATCATGGTGCACCTGTGAAATCATTGTTCTTTAAGATAATCTGAATTACGATAGTGGAAAAAATAACGGCAAAAGTCTATTGATAATAGTGGTTTCTTAATTTTATTCCATACAGCTTATAACACAATTCGCCTTGTTGGAGGAAACACGACACTAATTGGGAGGGTAGAAGTTTACCATAGCGGCCAGTGGGGAACAATCTGTGAAGACGGCTGGGACATCAACGACGCTCATGTGATTTGCAGACAGCTTGGCTTCCCTTCAGCCACTCAAGCCTTTTATAGCGCCACGCATGGTCAAGGGTCTGGTCAGATATGGATTGATAATTTGGACTGCTCAGGATATGAGTTACGCATCGACGAGTGCAATCATGATGGATGGGGAAATCATGATTGTGGACACAACGAAGACGCCAGTGTAGAATGCTCCTCCACAATCCCTTGATCGGGTTAACGTTATCACAATTACCTACTTAAATTACTCACCCCCGAAAGTAACTGATCGAAGGACAGGGAAGCGGAGTTTTCCAAAATTCATGAATTTACAGTCTCAGCGCTTTCCATAAATAGTTATGTAAATACATTCTAAAGAGTTTCACTTACCTAAAAATATCCCTCGCACTTCTCCGTAAATTCAACTATTATTATAGAGGTGCACCAATTGACGGGGGTTATTATAATATTTTTTCTTGAAATGGGAAATGAAGATTGTTATCACTCCGAAGACGCAAGTCTACAAAGTTCCTCAATAATTTCTTGATCAATTGAACTTTTTTTTTAATTTTTTTTTAAAGGGGGGAGGATGAATTACTCAATGGAATTGTGCACAGTTATGTCGAGCCCTGAGTTTCATTGCATTTACAATACCACTTGCAGAAAAGGCGCTCCATCCAGGTATCTCTTGTAATTAAATTCCATGCGGGATATTCAGTTATCTCTTGGACGTCTTGAAATTATAATTATTATTACTATTGTTGTTATCATTTCTATCGTTTTGTTCTGTCATGTATTATCGCTAGTTACGCTTTAAATCTCCTTTTGAGAACTTACTGAGAAATCCTGTCAAATCCCTGGTCAATACAGTGAGGAAAAGCACTCAAATTATGTTAACTATTTCGCTCTTCCATCAAATGTTAAAGTTTCAATTTCAGAGATATAATCACCACTACGGGGTTTAACTCATTTGCTGGTGTTTTTTCAAGTTTAACACCTGCTAATCTGCACATCTCTAAACAATAAAAGCATTGATCTGTATACATGTATAAAAAAAGATCGTAAGGCTCTCAGAGAGTAGCAAAGCTGCTTTGAAAAAGGTGTAAAAAAATACTTACAGCTCAAACTGGGTGTAAAATTAATATTTCAGAGGCAACTATGTCTCTTCGAACATCAAAGTAAATGTTGAAGTGTATTTGAATTAAAAAAACCGACCTCATTCAAAACAGTAGCAACCCGTAGTAATATAGTGATCATTCTGGGACATAACAGATATATAAATTACGGTGAAAACAGAACCTCAGGAGGTACGTCCTTACGATAAGCTATTAAACGTCCATGGGTGGATGTAAACCTCATTTGACAAACATCATCTGTCGGTGCGTCTCCCTCTACGAATTTTCAACCTTATTAGCGCAGTCTGAGACTGCCGAGCAAGTTCAAAAAGAAAACTAAAGCAAAAACATTCCCGTTCATTTTCGAGATCTAGGTATTTCAGGGAGGGAAAAACATTTCCAAAGGTAAGACAGCATTTGATCTCTCGCACAATGAAAGTAATGGTACACATTTAATTTCATGCGAGCTGCCTTACACTAGTAAAATAAGATGATGAAGGTCTTGGAAAAGATGAGCATTCCTAGCCGAGTGGAAGCTTTGTGATAATTTTTCTACTTCATTAAATCCTCTCTCCTTTAAAGAACTTTGGTTTGAACCTTCGCATCGACAGTTATTCTAACTATTGCCGGTATTTGTTGTCATTCACAAAATAGTCCTGAAGACGCTCTTAAAGGGGTGGAAGGATGGTGAAAACAGGTTTACATGATGCACCCAATTAAAAAGCAAAACGGCAAAAATTGCGTCATGTAACCAAGACATACCTCAAAACCGAATTAGTTTGGAGTTTGGAGCTGAATGGCTATCCAAAATATGAGGCAAAATTGTCTTTCGA